ACGTATTGTTGTCGTTATTATTATCATTGTTATTGTTGTTGTTGTTGTTTTTGTTGCTACTGCTTTTTCAGAAGGAAATTTTACTTCATAAATACATCAACGACTAAGCCATGCATGACATATATTATGTCTATGAGAAACAAAAAAGACGAATAAAATTTTGCCATGAACCTCAATGATATAATGTAATAGATGCATTTTTTGCAAATAAATAATCTGTGTTGTAAGCGAAAACAAAAATGGATAAAAATTCGTACTTTCATCATTCTCTCAGTAAAAACTATGCACGATATTCACAGTAGCTGAGAAATAAAGGGAGATTAGATTAGAATACAAATGAAACTTGAGACACGTTTTTGGTCTTAGCTTTTTCTGTTCTTCTTCTTATTACTCATAATTGCAAGCAAATCCAAACCGGTGGTCCAATTCAATAGTTACCAATTGTCGACAAATGACTTTAAATCTATTTGTCCATTTCATATCAAATATCGTAGGTCATCAATGTTTATGTCCATTATATTTGCTGTTATTATTCTCATTTGTTTCAATTCGATTCGATTGGATACACATGAAAAATAAAATCGTATCAAAGTGAATCCATTCATCTGTATATCTATGCATGTGGATCATCGATTCAATATAATCGAATACAAGCCAAAAATAATAAGGAAAAAAATCGGTGGTAATGTACACACTCCATATACATATACACCATATTGAATCAGTAATCTCAATACCAAAACAAGAACCCATAAGATTTCTGATTGAAATGATATAATTTTGTATATAAACGATAAGATTCATGATTATACACGAGTACGAAAGAAGAAAACAAGCAAAAAAAATGCTATACATTCAATGTTTTACTTTATCAATTAAATTTGTCCAACGCGAAAAAAAACTCACTAATGACAACCATTGATGATGATGATGATGACAAAAGCAATAACGACAAAATTAACGAAACTAAGGCGAAAAAAGAAACGAATATTTTTGGATGGTTGTTGTTGTTGTTGTTGTTGTCAATTATAATGCCCTGTACAAACAGAGAGATAGACATTTTTAAATTAGTCCAATCACGGTAACAAACAGTTAGATTTTTGCCAAATTCATTTGTTTTTGTGCTCGTTATCGACATCGTATATAGAGAGCTGGATAGGTCTTGTTTTTGTTTTTAACAAACCTCGTTTTTTAACATTACATTATTATTATATTTATATATCCAACAACAAGAACAAGCTGCTTATGATGACAGAAAATAAAAAATATATTTCGCATTATTATATAATTTTCCGTGTTTGCATCGTCAACAATTTTTGTGATGATTTTCAAATTTATCTCGTTATTATTATGCTTTACAGTTACTGATATAAAAATTATATAATTGTCATTAAATGTAGCATTTGTTATTGTTTTTTTTTCAGTAATTCAAACTTTCACAATCTATTAACGAAAGAAAAATAATGATTACAACCAGGACAAAACATCGGACCAGTTCATTGCATTTGTTCAGATAGTTCAGTCATCAATCAATCAATCAATCATCCATAAACAATGTCTGTGTCGTTATTGTTGATTGATTAGATGAAAGGGAAAAGAGTTTTTATTTTGACATGGATCATTTGTTTGTTTTTTTTTGTTCTCTTGTCGGCTCATGTTTTCCTTTAGTTAGTTGTCTAAAGTCCAACAAAAAATGCCGACAAATCGGATTGTCACCTTATATACACTGTTGTGTGGTGGTTTGTTGATCGGTAATATTCATCATCATGATAATAAAATCCTTTATTGACGAAATTTTTTATTTTTTGTCTGAATTCGATTAAACTTTGTTGTTTTACAACCCATGGACAACTCTTACATATTTTTTTTTGTGGAAGGAAATAGCATTTAGTCATTTTATCATACTTTCAATGTCATCATAATCATCATTGTTTTTGTTCAGGTAAAAATCAATAAATGGCCAGACCAAATGTTTATGTTAGTAATTCGGTGTACCGACAGATAGGTGCCATATATACATACAGACAAATATAACTACAAACTTCAATTGAAACAAAAAGAAAAAGAAAACCAACAGCAAAACCAAATGACTATTTTGCAATGTCCACATCACATAAGTCTCTAGACCAATATAATACCGCCAAATAATCGAATACAAAAAAAAGCCGAATAACATTTTCATCAATGACCACCAACATACACACACAAACACACACTAGCTTACACATTACATTACATAAATGTTCTACTACCATCAACAACAACGACAAATGGAAACGATTAGCTTCCAGTGAAAAAAAAAACAACAAAATGTTCTGGCAACTCTCTTTTTTTTGTACACCATTATTAGAATGGAAATAAAACAAACCAAACTAATCAAGGTTCACACCAAACAAAAAAAAGTCTCATTTGTGAAAATCAGTCGGACAGCATACCAAAAAACATAGAAAGGATTTGGGCGAATGAATAAGAAAAAAAAAATGGTGTGGGTGTTACCAAGTAAAGTTACCAAATAATCATATCGTTTCATAACTTGATATAGTTGACTTGGTGTCAATAATGATGAAAGCAACTTATAGAAAAAAAAGAGAAATACGAACAAGTGCTTTATTTCCGATCGAAATGGTCATTCTCTATTTACTTTTGTTTTTTTTTTTTTTGTAATAATGATGTGTGGACTATGTTTTATTTTTTCATTTTTTTTTGTAAGATTATAGAATTGAATTTTTTTTCATTTTCACTTGACTATATTCTCAATAGATTGGTCGGTTTGATTGACTGTTTTTTATTTTTCTTCGTTGGCCGGATAGAGGGATGAAATATTGATGATGTTCTATTGAACAGGCATTCATACACAGATGCTCAAATATATGAAGTATAAAAAAATGAATGAGTTTCAGAATCATGAACTAAAACTTTTAGTACACTAGTGCCCTGTGAATGTGGATTCATTTTGGTGGTTGCGCTTCACAATTCTTATGTATACAGTGTGTGTGTGTGTATGCGCCTTGTTTCTTGAATCTCCCGAAATTCTCTTTCCCTCTCTTCTTTTTTTTCTGACACAAACACACATATCATCATTGCTCGAAATCGACCGACTGTTCACGACCAAACCATTCTTTTAGGTTAGTCGTGGTGGTGACGGTGGTTGAACTATAGTTTATTATATTCTGTGTGATGTGTGTGGTGGCGTTGGTGGCTTTCCACACACAATCAACAACATCAGAATCAAGAATTTTTGATCACACATACACTTTCATGGGGAGAAAAGTGAAAACGATCGATTGAACAATATGAACACACACACACACACACATTGTTAAGAATGTGCATATAACAGAATTGATTTTTTCACTTCTATGGATTTATGAAATAAGTTTTTTTTCTGTAATCTAGTGATGAAATGAAAATCAAAGTCAGTTTAATGTATGTGTGAGCGTGCATATAAAACTCATAACATAAATTCTCCAACATGAATTGACTGGCCAAACATCAGATTTTGTTTTTTTTTGGATGTATGTAGCAAAATTAATAACACAGTAGCATCACGATGAGCAATGTGTAGCATCCATTCGGTTGAATGTTTTTTGAATGATGTATTCTATTCACTTTGAATAAAGTTTATCTACAGCTGGTCTTCATAGATGTATGGATGCATGAATCCATGTCATCATCATCATGATGTTTTCGATGCTGTACCATCCTACATTTAGTTTCAAGTTTAGTCAGCCACTGTGTTGGCTGGTTTGTATTTTGTGTATGTGTGTGAATCCGCGATGATGTGGTGTTCCACATGCAGACACACACACACACAAATATGCTGGATTCTTGTACATCACTACCATGGATGCTTTTTTTTATTTCAGTATTCATGTTCAATTTTTCAGTTTTTCTTGTGACTTACTTTACTGAGACTAGGGTTACATGTTCTCTTTTCAGCAACTTTCTCACCTAACCAAAAAAATCTTTAACCGATGTAAAACTGTATAATTAAGTGTTTTCCAAAAAAAAAAAAAAAAAAATTTTCCTCGACCTCTTGGCAACCCTAACTGAGACAATAAGACTCAAATCAGTGCTTATTATTTAAACAAAAAACATATTCAGTATTCTTAGCCTATCGGATGTTCTTTCAGGCAATAAAATGATGATCGAAGAATTTGAAATTTTGTATTCACTAGTCTATGATATTTGTATTGTTTTTATTTCTAAACATTTTTTTTGTTGGTTTCGTTTTCGTGGTGGTTTCGCTTGATTTGTCACATAGCATCACGCTTCTTTTTTTTATTTCATCCTATCTTGTTGACAGTGTTTTTCCATCTTTTTTTTAATGTGATACAATTTCCGAGCATTCAGATTTTTCTTTTCCTACGAGCTTTAGTCCCTCATCGCCCGATACATCGAACCAACTTGGGGATAAAAGAAAAAATGGATGGATTGATCGATGAATGGAATTGGATGCACTAAGGCTATAATAATAATAATAATAAACAGAAAGCATATAAAATGGAAAATAAAATAGGAAATAAGAGGGAAGGCGGGGGCTGTGTTGATGTGCTGATCATAATTCCAACATCCATAGTATTATCGGGCAATCTCTCATCTTTTTTTTCTGATCTGTTCATGTGTTTGTGTTTGTGTGTTTTGTTCAATGTATAGTTTGAAAGAATGATGGGTTTGGCTCTGCGGCCTTCCACTAAAAGAGCCACATACACTGTTATATGTTATATTTAATATATTATATTGGGTTGGTCCATCACCACACACACATACACACACACATAAATACTATTCTGTGGTGTTATATACTACTGCCGTTGTTGTTGATGCTGCTGTTGTATATGTGGTATTTTTGGTTGGATTGTGCGGCTTCTTGGTCTGTTGTTGTTGTTGTTGTTGTTGTTATCGTTATTGCTCAAACTTCTCTTTAGCTATCTGCATGTATGAATCGACAGCATCATCTTGCTTTTCATAACCAGGCCTTCATCACTCTATACACCACCACACACATACTCAGACATTGTGAAAAGACTCCCTTTTTTTTCCTTTTATGTATGTGTGGTGTTCCATCATCAACTCAACTCGTCGGTCGGTCTTTTTGGTTTGGTTTTCGGTTTTTCGGGTTTTTTTTTCTTTTTCTTCATCTTTTTCGGCCGTTGTGCTGTGGCTCGACACATACATACATAGATAGATAGAGCTACTCATACGTAAAAAAAGAGAGAAAGCATAAGCAAGAATATTTGGTGAATGTGTGGCCAAGATACTGTGGCTCGCCAAAAAACCAAGTGCCCACAAAAAAAAAAATTCAACTCAACTAATTCTGCGTGTATATTATGTTTGTGTGTCTGTGCATGAATACACTTGGATGCAATGGCTTAAATTCAACTGTAACTGAGAGATACTGAAATTTATTTTAATGTAAAAAAATAAAATTTACCATAGATTAAAAAAGAAATGAAGAAAACACAATCTACTCTAATTCCAGAAGCTAAAAAGTTGAATATTAGATTTCTAAACAGAATTCATCCATCGAGCAACTCAACAGAATCAAAGGATATTGATTTTCACTACCGTAAAACAACGAAAAAAAATCTGTGGTTGGTTAGTTCGTTGTATTGTGAGTTTATTTGATACTCTTATGATGGTTTTTCCTCTCTGGTCGATGAAAGAAGATCAAAACGAACAAATTTGTATATATGGCACCCAAAAACCTCTACCGATGCTGTTGCCGCCAAAATTTTCAACTAAATTCTCTTTATTTTCATGTATAGTTGGTCTGGGCGCGAAAAGATATACGTTTTAGTTATTCTAAAAGAAAAAGTATAAATGAAAACCTAAAACAGGAACCATCGTCATCATCGACCAATACTGCTGCTACAACAGCTCTATTTCTCTCAATTTTCTGGTTGTTTTTATTATTGTTGTTTTCTATTTTTTCCAATGAATCAAGAGTGAGAGAGAAAAAGATATTCCATTCAACTAACCAACCAACTAACCAACATCAATCCGCATCTCTCTGGTTTTTCCTGTGGATGTGTGCCTGTGGTATAGTATAGTATAGAGAAAGGGAGAGAGAGAGAGAGCAAGACAAGTTGATGCTCAACACACACATTCTGATATTTTGTGTCGAACCACAACTCAATCAAGAGACTCATCAATTCGTCTCCAACCTACCAACTCCAACTATCCAACATTGACGCATCATTCAATTCCAAGCATTTGTTCGGGTTTAAAAGCAATTGTATTTCAATATTGGTTTGTCACCGCTTGGATTCTGGACATTTTCTACCGCCAATTGTCTTTCTAATCGTCGCCCATCATCTAGTAGAGCCCGATTTTTTTTTTTGTTTCTCAAATTTTTGTTTTTTGCTGATGTTTTGACCACTTATAAGTGGATTTGTGTCCATCAAGTGTGTATGCTTGTGTATATGTGTGTGGGTTGATTTCCACAAAATATATTCGCCTTCATTATTATTTTTCTTGGTTGTTGTTTTTTGTGAAACTAAAATCGATTCAATCTGGCTTCATCATTATCATCATCGCCTTCTTCTTCATCACCATTAAGTCATCAATATTATTATTATAGCAAAATGTTACCATTTGAAACGCCTACAATATTTGAACAATTACCACGATTCATATTTCAAATGCCAAGAGTGGTTACCGATCAAAAAGCTAAATTTGAAAATGATGAATTGTTTAGAAAATTATCAAGAGAAAGTGAGGTATGGTCGAATTCATATAGAGAATAATGCATGAGAATCGATACACTTGTTTTGGATTTGCCTAATCCTATCATTTTTATTGTTATTATTCTTGATGATAAATTAAGATTCGTTATACTGGTTATCGTGATCGACCACTCGAAGAACGGCAAATACGTTTCATAAATGGATGTCGTGAAGGCCATACAGATATTGTAAGTACCATAACTAATGATTAAACTAGCCCATTTTATTTCATTTGAAAGTTACATAAACATAACATGACACACTTGTCCATTTATTTTTAACCGGGTTCAATTTTCCATTCCACTCTTTATGACACTTGAATGATACTCGAAATGTTCGTAGACCAGATTCTATACCAGAAGATTCGTATCATAAAAATAACAACCAGATTAAATAATACAGTATCTATTGATCTTTTTTTTTGGTGTAAATGTTATATCTCGAACATATGGAATATTCACATCGACAAATGTAACATACAAAAAAAAATTATAGATCAAAACAAAAAAAAACCTTGTGAAATTTAGCGACTCGATCTATACACACACACACACAGACAAACAAACAAAAAATTGTTTTTTTATTATTTGAAAAGAACAAGATATTCTTTTTTTTTGGTTTTATTTCATTGTATCTGCTGTTGTTAAATATGAGTTTTTTTTCTCGATGAATCTTGATATCATTTTACTTACTATCTGACTATAGTTTTGTAGTAACTTTGGCTGTTGCTGTTGTCATCTTCATTGGTCGGTAATAAAAAATAAAAAAAAAATCTCCTATCATGATCATGACCATAAAAATGTGATTGCAACATTGCAACCACGAATGATGACTATTCAATACACTCTACATACATGTGGCTTCGGATCGAAATTCGGTGTGTTAAAATGATTTTTGTGATTCAGATTTTCTTTTTTAATGTTATTTGTTTGGTTTCACTATGTTCAAAGATCTTCCGCCGCCCACCGCCGCTGCCGTCGATGATTGTAACGATTAACCGACATTCGTCTCTTGTCAATCAATTTATAGTCTTTTATTAATGTTACTGTGTCAATTTTTAATTTGCTGGCTAGAGCTATGATATGGTTTTTTTTTGATTTTTTTTTCATAATCAAATTTAAGTCCACGCTAGTATTGAATTGGTCTTTCATGATATCTTTATTATCGGTTTAAAATTAACGTCACCAAAATAATGATAGTCTGGTGAACCAAAAATATGTTTTTATGCAGACACAATTTTAGGTCTTGTCTTTGTCTTGGTCCAACTTACAATTTTGATTATTCACACTAGATATGAAGTTATTAACGAATAGAGAAAAAATCTGGAAGTCATTATTGTCCTTGGTTAAGAAAAATAAAAAAATAGATAAGACACAAGTAATTCGGCAACTTATCTGGCGTCACACAGCCATCGAATGATGAAACAAACTTGTTTGATGTTTAGTTTCTTTTTTTTTAACTGTCAAGGCTTTTTGGTTAATTCTATCATTTCAATGAGAATCGACAAAATTGGTGATACAAATGAAACTGACACTAACAATTAATTCATTGGCCATCTATTTATCTGTTGTTTGTATCTATTGTCACCGGTCGAATGTGAAAAGCGAGAAATTTACCACCACCACCACCACCACCCCTATTACCACCGACAATCATTTATCTTGAATTTTTTTTTCATTTGGTGCATCTTCGCTTGATCGCTCATCGTTAAAAAAGAGCCACACAGGTATACAAAGTAGATAACCATAAACAAAGACAATGAAAAAAAAATCTGGAAGAAGACATTTACTAAGAATCATTATCAGCTTTTTAAGAAAAAAAAACTGAAAATTTTGTAATTTATAATTGATGCCTTTTATATTTTCCAGTCAAACAACAGAGAACAGGTATTATGATTCTTAGTGTGTGTGTGTATGCGTATGTATAAAATGCTTGGTTAATTTTCAACCATGCAGACTAGACCATCTGCTTTGCATTTTCTATTCTATTATTATATTGAACCTTCAATCTGCTTTCACTAATTGATCATTGACATAATGCACCGCTATGCTTGTTATGATGTTATATCGATACCCTCTATTTTCAAAAATGATGGTTCACATTATTTAAGGGTTCGGTCAAGTTTTTTTTATCAGACGAAAAAAAATTGACAGGCAATAACACAGCATAAATGGTTCAGACAATTAATGAATCTTTTCTTTTTGACGAAAAAAAAAGAACAAAAATATCTAATTATACAACGATTAACTGGACGGACCTTTCGAGTTAAAGGTTAAGCAAAAAAAAAACTAAAAAATTGTTTGCCTTTATCATTGATGATTAATAGTGTCATGTATGTATATATAGTGTTAAGAAAAATTAAAACAATAAAATTGGAAAAAAATTTTCATACCCCATTTTGTTTGTTTTGTTTTTTTTTTTTAAAATGACATTGTTGACAAGTGGATGTGTTGATGATGTGTCAATATTTGTACAACAACAAAAATACATATTTTTTTCAAAATTTTTTTTAAATTTGATTATTGAACCCTGTAGGGTTGTATTGTTGATGTTGTTGTTGTTGTTGCTGCTGCTGCTGCTACTCAAATAATAAATTCTCATTCTAAAAAATCAAATTTTTTTCTATTTTTTTTGTTCTTTATTTGTTCAAATAGGCATTTGTATCGACTGGTACGAATTTACAACTTTTATTCAATCCATTGGCCAATGCATTCACCGGCACTGATTACTGTGATTTTGACAAGGAAAAAGGCAAGGTATGGTTGTTTTAATTTTGCAGCCGAAAAAAAGGGCGCAACCAAGATTGTATCAAACGAAGCTTGTTGTTGTTTTTTTTGGCTGTCTTGGTTTTTATTATTATTATTATTCTGGAAACTGAATGTTTAATCATTGATTTAAAATGAATCATTTTACATATGTATGTATCACACACACACATCAACCACCACACAAACGGTGGCTTCTTTTTTTCTGGCGTTGGTTGGCCACATCGATCATCACCACGATGTTGATGATGATGATCGTGGTCGTGGCCGATGATAGTGATGATAGTGTCTCATTTTATGTATAAATATATTCAACATGACAAAATCTGAGAGGTGGTTGATCAATGATCATGTTTTTTATCTTGTCTTTTTGAATATTACACTACTTATTACTATAAAAACTATATCATATTTCAACGAGAGAGAAAAAAACTGTCCAACTCATAACTGCATCATGAAAAATTTGCATTACAAATTTTTTGTTCTTTTTTTTCGCTGTACTCATCATCATCATCATTATTATTGAACACAGCCCACAGTTTTACATGGATTTTTGAGGGAGCAAAAAAAAAATTTATTGTTTATGATGATGATCAAGGCATCACATATAGACAGTAATCTATCTGGAATGGAGAAAAAAAAATTTTTTTCTGTTTTGACGGATGAAAATATAATCAACCTTTTCAATTTTTTGGTTCAAAGTAAGAAAAAACAAACGAACAAACAAACAGGAATAACAACAACAGAAAAAAACTTGCCAATCAGTCGTGTGTGTGTGTATGCTGTGTATGATTAGGATCTTAATTCTTCTGGTGTGTGTGTGTTTGTGCATTTATGATGAGATGAAATAATTGCTCTTGTTTTCATTCATTCATTTAATGATCAATCGGGTGAAACCTCTAATTTTTTTTTGTTAACAAAAAAAAATCTGAAATTTTTTTTTTTGCCATTTTTTTCTGTCTTGAATTAACCAAGAGAGATGAATGAATGAATGAATGAAAAAAAAACTGAATGTGGCTAGGCCACAATCGGCAATTGGCGCCAATCTTTCTTTAGCACAGTCTGTAGTAAATGAAAACGAAGAAAAAAACACACCTTGTTTAAATTTTTCATTCATTTTTCAAAAAAAAAATTTTCATATATTTTGTTTCAAGTTTTTAAATCAATGTTTTTTCTGCGGTATAATTGCTGTATTGTCTTTATATTTTTTAGGTAATAACAATAATAATGATGATGATGATGATGATGATAATAGTGATGATGGTGGTTATCGTTATGGATAAATTTTAAAAGTTTTTTTTTACCTTTGACCAAAATTGTTGGCAAAAAAAAATCAATGCCCTAAAGGTTTTGAAATCCGATACTGATATATCTAATATACCGGGTCGTTGTTAATTTTTTTTCTTTTGTTTCACTATACATCTCTCTTTTGACACTAATTAATGATAATGATTAGGTTTAGGTTTTTATCAGTGTGATTATTATGATCATTATTATTATTATTATTGTGATGTTGTTAGTTAGGTTCATGATAGTGATCGTTTACGAATCATATTATGATATTGTATACGGATATACAATTGAAACAAATCCATTTCATTTATATGTGTGTGTGTGTTTCATCTGTGATAATCATACGATTTTAGCACACACACACACACAACTAACCAAACAGTGAAAAAAAATCACTGCCAAATACAATCAACGGCTAAAATGTGGTGTTTTTATTTCTGTTTTTCCACTTTTTTTTTATTTCCAATGTATGAGAATCCAATACAAGTAACTTTATCACGAATGATAATAAAAAAAAATATCACCATATACAAAACTGAAAATGGTGAGAATAAACAAAAACTTGGTACCGTTTTCGTTTTATTTTCATTTTTTTTTCGTTCTGGATTTGTAATGATGAAAACAAATACGAAAAAAAAGATGATGATAATTCGATCCGTATGAATGTATGAAGAAAAAAATTCTGTCTGTGTGTGTGTGTGTGTGTGTGTGTGTGTGTTTTTTCTAAACATTCATTTGTTTTTACATCATGGCAAACAAATGATCTACCATGTTGTTGTTGATGTTGATGATAATCGTATCTGTAAAACATATCGACATCATTAAAAAAAAAATTTGAAATACAAACATTATCGTGATTTGGTTCGTTCGTTTCTTTTGTTTATATAATAACTTATTTCATACTCTTAACAACAATAGTGATAAATGGTTTAAGTTTATTCCAACAAACACACACATACCATAATCAGTCAATCGTGTATGTTGTAACAGTTATTTGTTGAATATGTCAATGAAAAGCACGTTTCTGGTCATTGTTTTTATTTTTCTTTTTGGTTGATGGTCCTAATAATAACAATAATGATAATAATAATAATAGTTTTAATGGCGCCAAATTATAAAAACAAGCCAAGAAACAATTTATACACACACACACACACACACACACACACACATCACAAACACTCATTTAATCTGTTTGTGATTATAAATGTGTTTTTGTATACAGAAAGCAAAAAAAAAATTCATCGTCGTTTTCCATCTGTCTCGATTTGATTGTCGTATTTTGTCATTACTAATTTGTCATTTGTTACCGACAAATCTAAAGGATATATATCTATGTGACAAGTTGTCACCTGTTCTGTTAGTATGTAATACACAAAATATTAAATAGTAAATGATTAAATTTTGGTTTTTTTTCAGTGTTTATCGTTGATCATTGAATGTTTGAGTTAATTATTCAATTTTTTCAAATTTTTTTTTATTTCGAAAAATTTTCTCCTTAAAAATTTGTTATTTTTTCATGGTTCTGAAACCTAAACACACGATATAACAATTATATTGCACAAACTAACGATAGTTATCTGATACGTTTTTTTTTGTTGTTGAGCTAAATACCATTATGACATGGTGAAGAAATGATTGGTAAGCCATAATCGTCAAGAATGCATGTCGTTTGATGGCTAGCCAATTTAATATCGATATCATCCATATAACGATTATAATAATTAAGATGATGATTATAATCACACACACACACACACACACAATACCATTACCAGAGACCAACTATCATTTAATTATCTAAATGATCTAAACTCTCGCCTTGTTTTAAATATCTATACCACCAAATATCCATAGACCATGACGCTAATCATGACAATCATCATTGATGATCATAAGATTTTCAAATTAGAGAAAATTAAAATTGTGATGCAAATTCATTTTTTTTTCTAATATTTTTGAATAAATTTTCAATTTCTTATCCCGAAATTTTTTTCAAAGTCGATCATCATCATCATCATCATTATCGATGCACATCTATGTATCGAATAAAGAAAAATAATGATGATGATAATGATGAACCATATTATTAGCCAATATGTATTTTTTACACATTTCTTGTTGTTCTTGTTCATAATAATTTTGGTTGTTTCTTTTCTTCAGTCATCAATTTTTGTTTTGATTGTTCCAATTTTCATAAAATGTTTTGAACTTTGTGTGGTATACCAATTATATATATAATTGAGCCATAGAAAAAAATGAATATACAATTCGTTAATAATTATTCGAGTTAAGACAATGTAGTTATTGATTAGAATGTTGTTCTTTATTCGTTTGGCTAATATTAACTTTTTTTTGTCGTTCAACACAATAATAAAATCATACATTGATCCCTGACATCCAAGCGGAAATTTTTTTTTTTTATTTATCAAAGATTAAATAGAGATAACCTCTTATTTTGGCAGAATTCAATGAAAATAATGATGATTGTTTCTTCTTTAGTAATTAAAACTGGTAATAATTCAACTACCTTTGTGATTGACTACTACATTCACATCTACTTTAAATATTATCTTATCTCTTCATATGTTTATGGGAAATTTTTTTTTATTTTCATATATGACACCAATTTTTTTTTGAAACAGATGAATAAATCCATGGTCATTTATTGAATTGAAACTATATACAATATACAATATAATGAAGTCTATTCCCTAAAGCAATTATCTTGTATTTTTTTTTTGGATTATTAAAAACCAAAACCTGTGTGTGTGTGTGTGACTTCTGGACAAATGACAAAAGAAAAACCGACAACCATGATGATGATGTTGTCTTCTCTCTTTTCTACATCAGTTCGGTTGACGACCGGTTATCATTACCACTAAAGCCGACAAGAAAAAATAACAAATAAAAAAATTTAAAAACCAAAAAAAAAAAATTGCCATAATCAAACAAACAATGACTATACCATCATTACAGTAGCTTTAAGATTTTTTTTTTCATTAGAAATTTTTCGATTCAAAATAATGATCATAATCATTATGATGTCGTCATCAATTTTGTCATAAAAAAATCTTTGTCTTCAACAATGTCATCATCATCATCATCATGTTATCTATTTCCGTCTTGCCTGATAGTTTTGAATTTTTTTTATATGCATGTAAATTTTTTTTTTACGATCCACATCTCCAACCCATATCATATCAGATATCAGTCAGTATAACTGATTTCTTTTCAGTAATTTTGTAAATATGATTATGATGATGATGGGTGTTTATATTTCTCTCTGTGTGTGTGTGTGTGTTGTGTTTTTCGTTTTCAAATGTGAGATTTTTAGTTTTTAATTGTTTTTTTTGCGCAAGTATTGCGAATGAAATAAAACCATATACATGGTGTTATCATCATTAAATTTTTTTCACGAACGACATTATCAAAAACTACAACTTCGAGTGTAATAGTCTGTTTCTTTCTTTCTTTTTTTCTTGTTTGATTGAATTGACAGACATCTCAATTCTTATGTTTTTTTGATTATAAGTTTGTGTTTAAATATTTTTTTTTTTGCTCATACAATCACACGATGATGATTAAAAAATCAAGAAAAAAAATTGAAACAGACTTTTTCAGGGGCCCGGTTTGTTTCCTATTTTCGGGTTTTCAACTTTTACTTATTTATTTATTTTTTTTTTGGTTTGGTTGGCTGCCTGAATTCCGTCACATAAAAATATATTAAGCATTAACCAAGCAAATAAATGAATTCAAACTACAGCAACAACAAAACCAAACGACTACCAAAAAGAAAGTGAAAGCAGAATATTTTCACAATAACAAATTATAAAGAATCCTAATTGCACGTCTATGTTGTTGTTGATGATGATGATGATGTGCAATCGTTGTTTTATATGATGATGTTTATATGGTGTTGTGGCAGGCCATTATGGAAATTATTTTGTAAATGGAACCTTGTATTTTTTCATTTCATTTGCTGGGATATCTTCATTGTAGTGTTATCGTTGTTTTTTTAGTTATTCTTGCTCAATATATAATTTTATCAATAATTTTTTAATTTTATGATATTTTTCCAGCAAAAATTATCATATAAGATTTTTGGTATCAAACGTTCGTTTTGCTTGACTATGGCCGTTGTTGGTATGAATGCCGAAGAAAATATGTGATTCACACATGAAATAAACAACTTTTTTTTCCATTCCAATATACAACCATATAAATGTTGTGCATTACATTTTTTTTAGCTCCTCATACACACATATCAACTAACCAAAAAAAAAAAAAAAATTCTTTGACTCAAAATCCCCGATCCAAGTGAATGATCCAAATCATTCGAAAATTTTCTCTCTTTTAGTTAATCATCACAAGTTATATATAGAGTGGCATTCTTTACGCTTTATATTCCCTCCTCAATGGGTGATCTCATACAGAATATTCGTATCCATAGCATGAAATAAAAATTCGCTCTATATATAGCACACACAAATATAGATTAGAATTTAGTGAAAAAAAAAATATTTCCGTTTAGAATTCTTTATGGTTCAAATTGGACGAGTCTGCGTGTGTGTGTGTGTGTGTTTGTATGTGTGTATGACACAACACAGTAGCAGCATCCTGTATAGATAGATATACAGTGGACACTCTACTTACGAACAATTGCATTCAAGAATAATGTTCGTAACTCGAATTTGTAACATTTTAAAGAATATAATGTACAGAGGATGTTTTTATTCAAATTTATGGAATCAATTTGAATAAATGATAGATTTTCGAGTATGCGGAAAAAAATTTTTAATGTCCGGTTGAAATTCATCATTTATGATAATTTTATTTATTAGTTTATTTGACAACAAAAAAAAATCATCATTGGCTGGTTCTGCATTCTTTTTTGGTTGGAAAAGTTTAGAATTTCAAATTAAAAAAATTTTTTCCGTAAGTCGAGTACCCACTGTATTCGGCAAAAACCGAGAAACCAAATCGAGCGAATGATAATTTTTTTCATCTAATTTCCTAGTTTTTTTTCTGTACCTCTAGATGCATCATTCCATGATGATAATGATGATCGTCGTATGGATGAATGAATCATGGAAGTATGGAGAGATAAGTTGAACAAAACATGTGGAGAACCGATGCTTTCACTTTGTTTTTTTTTTCAATTTGAGATGCGTTCTCCCTTTTGCTTGGACAGTTTATTTAGGCTTGATCCACTAGCTTTGGTTTGAGTGAAATCTATTTCTTTTTCCTTGTTGAAAATAAAAACATGTGTATGATAAAAGTACTGTGCTTCTGCTTCTGGTATTATTGTACATGATGATTCTATCGCATGTATATCGCCCAAAGGCCAATACATATTCTGGCGCGTGTCGAGAATAATTTTGTTTAAAAATCAAAGTTCAAACAATGGAAAAGGTCATAATAATATATATATATATATATATATATATATATATATATATATATATAGGTTATTTTAGCTGTGTTATTAAATGGTACGACACAGAGTGGCGGTGACATTCTTGTTCCAATCATCAAATTTTGACTGTCTACAGGCTAGAATTAAATTTTCAGCAGGAAAAATTTTTTGAAACTTGAATTTTTGAACTATTATGACGGGTACATATGGATGTAATGATTGTTGAATGGCTTAGATTATATCTCGATTAATTATAGCTTTCATTAGTAAAACATGAATCATGACTACCATATGTCTATATGTTCAATTGAATGTTTTGGCTCAAAACATTTCATTTCAGTGTGGAATGGTGAAAAATTCCTTGTTTTTCTGTTTGTTCGTTTCCGTCAAATGTGTTTGTTTGTGATCAAATCATATCCAACAACATGATTGTTAATAACAATGAAAGAATCTACCAGTATGTGACTAAAATTGGATATTTTTAATTTGTTTCATTTCCGTATCAATCATTATTGAAAGATGACATTTGTTATTGTTCATTGCAGAAAAAAAACGGAAATCGTTTCATTCAACATCATAAAGCTTCCTGTTATTCGTTGATATATCTATTATCATTATTATTATTATTATTATTCAATCAATTTTTTTCATCTATTTTAAGGTTCATATACGATCATCAATGATAATCGATGGCGTATGTATACGATGGCGTGGCTATATTGATCTCGAACGTCTGGATGGTGTTGGTTGTTTAGAATATGATGAAGATCGTGGCCGAATCGAGGATGCAATCTTAAGGCAACAAATTGAACAATATAAATTACGAATGAGAGAATTCGAAGAAAGACAACGGCTATATAAATTAGCGCAAGCTGAACATCAGAAGAAAAATAATTCCAATACAAATAATGCTAATTCCAATAATAATAATAATACGGCAGCAGCTGCTATGATCACGACGGCGACGACTACAATGACCACTACCGCAACAGCAACGATAACATCAACGGCGACAACCACATTGGCCACAACGACTACACCAGCCAATCTAAGTAAAGGCGAGGTAAGAAAGAATTTTTTTCTCCCTATTCTTTCTTAGGATAACATTTTGATTTCAATTTTTATTATCATACAACATTATTCTCTCTGCTTGTGTCAGTATGTGTGTAGTTGAATTTAATTGTTACACAACATATCATTACCATATTTGAAAGTCTATGGTATGAATGATATATTTGACAAAGACACCGAATTGTAGAGCCACAAAATGTTCATCTCTCCATTGTCCATTATTTATTCGTTTATATAGCCTCGAAATACTTTGTTTTTGGCACCTCTTTTTCTTTCATGCTCTTTGTTCATCGACAAACCAATAGATATTTTAGATATTTATGTCGGAAACGAATCAAAGTTGCATTCGTATATAACCGATAACTTGAAATGTTGTTGAATAGCATTCTATTTGTACAATTAACATGTCAGTGTTGGTCGGCCGATTGGTTGATTGGTCAATGTTGAGCGGCATTGATTGCATACATAAATATCAAATCTATCGCATCACCTTTTGTCCACCGCATATATATATTTCTGTCTATATATGTGTGGATGTGGTGGTTTTTATTTTATTTTCATGAAAAAAATTTTTTATTCATTCTTCATATATGTTCTTCATTCGCTTGCTATCTATTTCGCGATTCAATTTCATTTGTTTGGTTTTTTCCCTTCATTTTACAATGCCGTGTTGATCGGAAATTGCACGAATGATCATTGTTGATGATGATGATGATGATGCTCATAGCAAACACACAAACACACCAACAAATATAAACTAACAAATACTGTTACATACAATGATTGAAGAACAATAAAAACGCATTTTTGGCACGCAATCGTTTACAATTTTACGTTTGTTAGTTTGTTTGGCTTGTTTATTATCATTAGTATGTGTGTGTGTGTTTGTGTGACTATGTTTGTATGTATCATCTTTATTCTTTCACACATATCAACAATGTCTAATTGGTTTGCACTTCGTTTTCATGACTGAGAATGTGATGAGAAATGTAATATAAAAAATCTTTACATTCAGATACATTGTCCAATCAAACAAAAAAAAAAACAACAAAAAAATGTGATGAATGTTGACTGCTGTTGCTGATATTCGATTCCCTTCGATTGTGCTGTTGTAATTGTATGCAAACAATAATAACATGATATTAGGATACATTCGCGTATGATGATGGTGAACAAACACGAAAAAAATATATATATGCAATGATATTGTTACACTGTGAACAGAAAAAAAACCGTTCGTGTTTTTTCTCCTGTTTCTTTTTTTTGTTGCAGTATCGAACCAACGAATTTCACATACACAAATCCAGAAACTGAAAAAAAATTCATTAATAGAATAGAAAAAAAAATCTATACATGAATGGATAGGACACATGACCAATCCCCTTGTATATTCGTATTTCCTCCCCTTCATTTTCAAATAACAGCTAATCAAATCACTATTAATCAGGTTTTTTAACAAGTTGAATGACTTGTCACACGTATTGACAAACTATAGCAATAGCAGCTAAATCAAGCTTGAATCTATTGTCGATCATATTTTGGATCCATGGATCCAGAGAAAACGGCTTCAAGCAGAAAATATATTTACGTATGTATTTGTTATAATGGACAATGTCTAATAATACTAGCTAATTGTATGCTCAAGTGACTTGGAGCACGCGTTTGTTAAGGCAAAAAAAAATGACAAATGACACGTGGCCAATTCTGCGCTCTGTTTCTTATTTTTCGATGTGATTCTGTCATCATCATTTTTTTCTTTGAATCATATCATTTTTTAAATATATAAATCAGTCGACATCCGAATTACTAAAAATGAATGTGTGAGCGCGTGTTGCCAACGGCTAATGTTCTAAAATCTACAAAAATACTTCTTGTTATCATCATCATGACGACAACGATGATGATGACAATGAGAATCGTTGCCAATTACAATATTAACATGTCATTATAGGCTTATTATTCGATTCTAATTGAGTGTGAGATGAAGTATATATTTAGTGAGTGTGCCCGAATGTGTGTGTCTATTCGTGATTTGATTCAATAGATTTTTTGGCAAACAATCTGAATTCGAAACGCGTGCATCAATATCCGTACAACATGAACATCATAAATATCTGGATTTGTGAATTTTTTTTCTTTGATCCAATATCAAGATTATATAAAATAAGTTTCCATTTTGATAGTTCGAACAAAACATCAATTTTCCATTTGAATTTAATCTACATTCTGTTGTTCATATTTGATTCTTATCAATTTTTTTTTTATTTATTTTTTATATAGCTTCGAAAATATCATATCGAGAATATTCTCAGCGGAAACATGTCCAATCATAATAATAATAATCACCATCATGCTGGTAATCATGGACATCCTAACCATAATCATCATAATCATCGCAATCATCATCATCATAATCATTCGGAAAATCATCATCACCACCATCCACATCGTCATCATCATCAGGCAACTGTTAAAAAACATTGACAGTATTTTTTGTCAATTTTTTGTCTCTATTTTGAATTTATTTCAAAATTCAAGCATCATAATTTTTGTAAATAAATGAATGAATTATCATTCTTATATGCAATATACATGTACATACTTATCAATTGATGTCATACATGTATAAAAATGTTTGTTCGTAAAATGTTGTCGACTATTGTCATCGATTGGGAATGAATGTAAATAAAAATCATTTTATTACTCCTTTCGTTACGTTAAACGATTACGTTTATTATCATGAAATTTTGATATATTTAATAGAAAAATTTGCTGTCAAAACAAAACACTTTTATTATTATTATTATTATTATTCATGACGTGCGCTCTTTTTCACTCAAATGACCCGTACAACGATCGATAACAAGAGAAAAAGCGAGCAATCATAACACTTGGTTACCTCCGTTTATACAAAACCTGTCACATTCATATTATATTATGTGTATCACGTGCAATAATATTTAAGTGACCTTTGTCCCTTTGTCAATTTTTAGATATATTTCTCTCTCACTATAGGATATAGACAACTATTGATGTAGATTCCCTGTTGTGTGTTAGTGTGTGTGTGTGTGTGTGCAAAATCCGTGAACAATCATCAGGCATACATACAGTTACAAAACAAACATCAACAGACAGAATTGGATGCATATTCCAATCGTCGATAACTATTGGAATCGTCTAAATTTTCATAATATTGAAAAATGATAAAATAAATAGAAAAAACAATCGATCGATTAAACACATATCTACACCATACATATAGACATTTTATAGTCAGTTTTAGAATCAAGTTAAATGACTTATTGTGTTTTATTTCAATTCATTGTTAATCGAGTTGATGTTAAATGGACTAAGCTCTCTCTCTCTCTCTCCCCATTTGATTATTAACGGTATTAGAAAAAAAATAAATGAAAGATAAATTTTGGGCACTATTGAACTAATCAGTCATCATCACCCCATGATTATCGAAAACTTCGGGATTCGAGATTCGTACACAAAATATAAATAGAAAAAAAAATAAAATTTCAGTATATAACCATATGTCTTTTCCCAAAGTTTGGTCGGATACGCTGGTATCGGCGATTATTTACTAACTATATGGCTCACACTCTCTCGAATCTTTCAATAAACGTCAAACAAAAGTAAAAAAAAGAGATCGCTTAACAATAATTAAATCAAAACAATATAAAATACACCGATAATTTAATATATCCATGATGGGTATTATGAATGGGGAACACAAAATCTATAGCGTCAGCTTGCATTTTTTTGCCAACCATCAAGCACAGTTCCAGTGGTACATCATCGCATGAAACACACGGTACATTTACGGTGTATTGTGAAAAAAAAAATTGAAGAATGACGAAAATTCTCGCGCTGCATTGAACATCAGGATAATCAAAAAATTCCATTTATTATTATTATTATTATAACAAAAAATAGAAAAGCTAAACATGTATATTGTTGGCAAGCACCAGCCATTTTCAAAATTCTTTATTCACTTGCATGTTTTTTTTGATGGCTGAATGATGATCATTCTGTTGAAGTGTGCAGGTGCACGTATAAATCGACCCAGATTAAATTGAATTTCAGACAATAACATTATCCAACTATTCAATATTTTTTCCGGATGCTTAGATTTTTTACAAAAGTTTTTATATAGTAAGTTATACTATTCAACCATGATAATTCTATATATAATATGAATAATTAAATCAAAAAAAAAAATATGGATTTGAAACCTTCGTCGTTCAACGTTAAATAAACGAGAAAAAAAATTTATTTCTGTTACTGGTCAAGGTGTGAAACTTGATCTTTGCCAATTAATTATTCGATGTTAAATAATTTTTTTTTTTTTGAATAAACACAATAGCTATCGGATGAATGACCCAACCCGAATTTTATATTTATATATTAACCTTTTTTTTAGGTGACCAGAAAACAAACAAAGTGGATTTCAGTTGAAAAATGTAAATAAAAAAAACAACGGTAAAAAATGAATGATTGATTTATGTTTGGTTGATCAAATTGAAATGGACACGAAGTAATATGATTCACAACCGTAATTTTTCTCAATCTAAGATGCTTGAAAAATAGTTTAGTTTTTTTTCTAATTACATCTGTTCAACATAATTAATTTAATCAACTTTATTGACGGTAACAAAGATTGTTTTATTGCGTGACCCATTTGTCATTGCCTGTAATGATATCGTTTATTCATTTCATTGATATCGAAATTCGATTATATTTTTTAATTAAAAAGTATATTTGACAAATAAAACGTTTGTTTGTTGATGAATTTGTTGTAAACTCCTGTTCTATTCATATCTACCTGAAATAGTAATTGTCTAATTGAGAATTTCATTGATTAAAAAATTAACACTATTGTACAAATTTCTTTTTTTCATTTTCAATTTTAAGTAATTTGTCGTGTTTGAAAAAAAATTATCAAATTAAAATGATAATACGATAATGATAAATTTTGTTTCGAATTTGAAAATCTTTTGTTGTTATTGACTACCGGTTTTTTTTTGGATAAAAACTATTGAACACGATTAGAAGGCACGAATTTTAACATTATGGTAGGCAAAAAAAAACAGCAACAATCAACAATCATTGATAATGGATGGGTCATTTTGGAAATTTATCAATGAAAAGGATCAGCTTTCTCATTATCATTCAATCGATACCCATTCAACAAAGCTGGCCTTTTTTCAATAATATTTTCTCCTAAAGTAGTGCTCATACAATTGAAAGTTTTTTCTGTTCTCCAATATCAATGTAGTTCCAAATGATAGAAAGAGAGAGAGAGATGATCATTCATTTGACCATTGTTCCATTCATATATAGAAATCACAATGAGAACACAGCTGCAATTGTCATATGAACTATGAATCAACGAATCATTATTATCATTATTATAGGCGAAAAGGATTCTATTCAATATTTTTGGCTAAAATAACGAAAATGGTCAGTCCAATTGGTTGGCTATATGTATATGTCCATGGTGGGCATTTGTTGTTTTGACAGTTATATCATTTTCACATTGGTGAAGAAAAAAAAATTCATCTGAAAAGTTATTAAGTCGATGAGTGTTGACCCCAGAACTTTAACTCTTTTTTTTCATATTGGCTGTTTTATATTTTTCCTACCAAATTAATATTATCACTCATTCATTTGCTGTTTTGAAAAGAAATACAACAAAAAACACCGTTGACCTTGCTATAATTTTTTTGTTGTTGTTTATCCTGTGTCATTTGCGAATGAAAAATAATGATGGAAATGGTTTTGCATTAACGGGAATGTGGCTATTATGAGGTGATCGGCTATATCAATTTCATGTGAATAAAATATATGAATGAGAAAGAAATCTTTTTATTCAAATTTTTATATATTTTTTTTCATTGTTACTGACCACGGTACGTGTGTGTGTGAACAATTCCATTTGTTTGTTATTCTTGAGTTTTTTCTTTTCTTAATTTCAATGACAAGGATCAGAGGGTAAAAAAGTCAATTCATTTACAACATTTATTTTTTTTTGCTATTCCAGTTGAATATTTTTTTTTTGCCCAACTGATTGACATGGTTCGGTCATTTTTTCTGGTTGGCTGGTGTATTGTGTGTGTGTGTATAATTGACAACTATGGCATTAAAAAGGGAAAGAAAAACCAGATATCCAAACAACAATTGAAAGTTCCGTTTATTCAAATCAACACAACGCAAACACACAATTGATATTTTGACATTAAACTTTATGACAAAATAAGATATTATGAAGCTGTGAAAAACCGGAAATTTTTCTTATATATTTGATTTCAAATATGTTGACAGCTCAACAATGTCATAGTGTAATGATTGCCGAGTTTTTTTTTCTTGTGTGTTAATTTTTTTCTTTGATCATCATTTTGGGAATGAAATTTAATTGGATGTGTGTGTGTGTGTGTGTATGAACCAGGTAAACTGTACGAAAAATTTTAGCAGAAAAATGTTCTTCTATATTTGACATTATGATTGGTAATCACGCTCTTAATTTTTTCCTATTAGTATTGTAGCCTTAAATCCTATTATAATTTACATTGGATACCCTGATTTATCTTTTTTTTCTTTGGTTCAGGAATTGCCTAACAATTTCAACAAATATTCACATATAAGACACCTGTACTCACACACTCACACGATTGATCCATAATTAATGGAATTTTTCTTGTTGATAAGTGTGACAATGATGGCAAACATATACAAGGTATTCGATTATTGGAATTGTGCAATATAATTCAGAGCTAACGAAGCAAAAGGAAAAATTCTTCTTTCTAATTATTATCAAAATAACAAAATCCCAACAGAATAAATGGGAAACGACATTCTTGTAGATAATCCTCGTATATGATATTGTTAATTTTAACTATTGTAACTAGATAAGACCATCTGTATTATGGGTGTGAAAGAAAGTTTTTTTTTTCACCAAGAAATTCGCGAATCTCGAATTCTTCTTTTTGTTCACGATAATGGTATTCAACTTTTTGAGAAAAATGTTTCGTCTGGATAATCGTTGTTCAATTTACCAAGCCGAACTTTTGGCTGTTGTTGAGGCTATAAATTGGGTTGTTGATAATAATGTTCCTGGCGTTAAAATTATGTCTGATTCTCAAGCTGTATTGTTGTCGATTCAAAAAATCTATTCTTCCAATAGGATGGTACAGCATATTTTTCAAAAAATCGTCAATTTTAATGGACATATTTGTTTCGAATGGGTTAAAGCGCATAATGGAAATTTTGGAAACGAATTAGCGGATTATTTAGCCAAAAGAGCTGTAGAATCGCCGATTTTGAATTACGATCTTTTGCCTTTATCCTTCTTTAAATATGAATTCAAAAAACAACTATATTGTGCCTGGAATGAGATTTGGACAACATGCTCTAATGGATCCACTACTAAAAATTTTTCCACTGGTAAGCATCAGATCAGGAATCAATCTGTCTCCCGATTTCATTCTTACAAACCATGGAAAATTCAACCAGTATTTAAACAGAATGCGAATCAAAGATCAATCGTCATGTTTCTGTGGTAATCCTTCACAAACATCTTTACATTTAATTTTGGAATGTGATCGTTTTGCAGCACAGAGATGTTTTTCGCTTGTTACTGTTCTGATATGTCTAATTCTCCTATCCAATATGTTTGGATGAAATATTAGAAAATATTTTTCAATTCTCTATCCAATATGTTGGATGAAAATATTAGAAAATATTTTTCAAATTTCCTTCTTTCTATTTATAATTGTTTATAATTTTTTGTTATATTTCTCATTTTTATTTTATTTTTTGTAAATCTTTATCAACTCCTATTTTAAGGTATAGGAGCGTTTTGCTTTTTCTAAATAAATAAATAAATAAAAAATGGTATTCAACTGCCATCTACAGGTTTAGAACATAAATTGAATCTATTTTTTCGGTACGATTCTATTTCAGATTGATAGATGGCAGTCTACGATAATTTGGATTCCATGATGAGACCACATTGTTCGCATTGAGGTAATTGACTCGCAAACAATTTGTATTGTGTATACGGAATGATTTGTTTAGGTCTAGAATGTTTTTGCCGCCTAAATTTTGAAATGTCAGCCTGATTATCATTGTGACCGAATTGATTCACAGATTATCATAAAGAATGCATCTCTACAATTTGACATTACAACGTGCCACTCATATTTCTTTGGCTGTTCATGGAAACTTTGCCGGCACTAAACAGCAAGAAATTGCTTTGGCCAAAGGCCGAATACTGGAACTTGTACGTCCAGATCCTAGTACTGGTAAAGTATATTCACTTCTATCCATTGACATTTTCGGTGTCATTCGTTCGATGATTGCTTTTCGTTTGACTGGTGGTTCAAAAGATTATTTGCTCGTCGGTTCTGATTCAGGCCGTATTGTCATTCTTGAATACATTCCGGCAAAAAATTGTTTCGATAAGGTATGATTTTCATTGTTTTCAATTATAACTATTTTTAATTGATATCACTTTATTTCAAAAGGTTCATCAAGAAACATTTGGTAAAAGTGGCTGTCGCCGTATTGTTCCTGGTCAATATTTAGCTATTGATCCAAAAGGTCGTGCAGTCATGATAAGTGCTGTTGAAAAGCAAAAGTTAGTATACATTCTTAATCGAGATGCCACGGCTCGACTTACAATTTCTTCACCTCTTGAAGCTCATAAATCTAACACATTCGTTTATCATACTGTTGGCGTGGATGTTGGATTTGAAAATCCAATGTTTGCTTGTCTTGAAATGGATTATGAAGATGTTGATATTGATCATACGGGAGAAACAGCACAACAAACACAACAACAATTAACATTTTATGAACTTGATCTTGGTCTCAATCATGTTGTTAGAAAATATAGTGAAAATCTTGAAGAACATGGAAATTTTCTCATATCTGTACCGGGTGGAACTGATGGGCCATCAGGTGTATTAATCTGTTCGGAAAATTATATAACTTATAAAAATTTCGGTGACCAGCCAGATATTCGCTGTCCAATACCTCGAAGACGTTATGATCTCGATGATCCTGATCGAGGAATGATTTTCGTTTGCAGTGCATCTCATAAGACCAAATCCATGTTTTTCTTCCTAGTACAAAGTGAACAGGGCGATATATTCAAAATTACTCTTGAAGTTGATGATGATATTGTTACCGAAGTTAAAATCAAATATTTTGACACTGTTCCTGTTGCCACCAGTTTATGTGTGCTTCGTACTGGATTCTTGTTTGTTGCTTCAGAATTTGGCAATCATTATTTGTATCAAATTGTTCATCTTGGTGACAATGATAATGAGCCTGAATTCAGTAGTTCAATGCCTTTGAATGAAGGTGAAACTTTTTATTTCACACCTCGAAGTTTAAAAAATTTGGTCCTGGTCGATGAAACAGAATCACTGTCACCAATCATGCACTGTCAGATAGCTGATGTTGCCAACGAAGAAACTCCACAATTATTGATGGCTTGTGGACGTGGACCTCGTTCTACTTTTCGACTATTGCGTCATGGTTTGGAAGTGTCTGAGATGGCTGTTTCAGAATTACCCGCCAATCCAAATGCCGTTTGGACGGTTAAAAAACGTAGCGAAGATAAATATGATGCCTACATTATTGTCTCGTTTGTCAATGCAACGCTTGTTCTTTCGATTGGTGAAACTGTTGAAGAAATTACAGATTCAGGATTTCTAGGCTCTACACAAACAATCAATTGTGCTCAGATTGGTGAAGATGCATTAGTTCAAGTATATCCTGATGGTATTCGACATATTCGTGCCGATAAACGTGTGAATGAATGGCGTGCACCAGGACGTAAGCAAATCGTACGCTGTGCCATAAATTCCCGTCAAGTGGTAATTGCATTAGGCGGAGGAGAAATCGTTTACTTTGAAATGGATCTCGGTGGCCAATTAAATGAATACACAGAACGCAAAGATATGAATTCAGAGGTGATTTGTATGGCTTTGGGCGATGTACCAACTGGTGAACAACGTTGCCGTTTCTTGGCAATTGGTTTGGCAGACAATACTGTTCGTATTATCTCTTTGGATCCATTGGTAAGTAAAAATAGATTATCATCATCGGAATTAATTTGCATTATCAATTGTTCATTTGAATTATCATCTAGGAATGTTTAACGCCATTGTCATTACAAGGTCTTCCAGCCAGACCTGAATCATTGTCAATCGTACAAATGGGATTGATGAAATCTGATGAAAAATCCAAGGGGAAATTGTACTTAAATGTTGGCCTTCAGAATGGAGTTCATTTGCGTACCGTTTTGGATGAAAATAACGGTACACTATCAGACCCTCAAACTCGTTATCTCGGTAGTCGTCCCATTAAATTGTTTCAAGTTTGTATGCAAGGCAAAGAATCATTGCTTGCATTGTCCAGCCGTACTTGGCTCTGTTATTATTATCAAAATCGTTTTCATTTGACTCCTCTTTCATATGAACCATTGGAATATGCTTCTGGTTTTTCTTCTGAACAATGTCCAGAAGGAATTGTAGCTATTTCACACAATACTTTGCGTATATTGGCCTTAGAAAATCTGGGAAATGTATTCAATCAACATTTAGTCGAATTGGAATATACGCCAAGAAAATTTGCCATACATCCTGAAACTTATTACGTTGTAATGATTGAAACTGATCATAATGCATTGACACCAGCTTCAAAAACAGTTCGTAAACAACAATTGGCACAAGAAATGATTGATTCTGCACCTGCTGATGAGAAACAACATGTTTCTGAAATGGCTGCAGCATTTCTTAAAGAAAATCTTCCGGAAAATGTGTTTGGGGCACCTAAACCTGGCCCTGATACATGGGCATCGTTGATTCGAGTTTTTAATCCAGTCAATGGCAAAACACTACATAAATTTTCTCTGGAACAAAATGAAGCCGCATTTAGTATGACTTTATGCCGTTTTACAAACGATCCCGAAGGATATTATATTTTAGTTGGTGTTGCAAGTAGATTACGATTATTAGACAGACAACATTCTGGTTGTGAAATTCATACGTATAAATTTGAAACCGATCTTGAACATTTAACTTTAGTACATAAAACACCAGTCGAAGATGTTCCAAGAGCTATGGCTCAATTTCAAGGAAAAGTTGTTATAGGCGTTGGAAAACTTTTACGAATTTATGATCTGGGAAAAAAGAAATTACTGAAAAAATGCGAAAACAAAACCATACAGAATTTTATCGTTACCATCAATACAATGGGCAATCGTATCTATGTTTCTGATGTACAGGAAAGCTATTACTTTGTTCGGTACAAGCGATCGGAAAATCAATTAATTGTATTCGCCGATGATGTTTTCCCACGTTGGGTGACCTGTACATGTATACTTGATTATGATACGATTGTTTGTGCTGACAAATTCGGCAACGTATCGATCATTCGACTACCGGCAGATGTCAATGATGAAATTGATGATGATCCTACCGGATTGAAATCTCTTTGGGATCGTGGATGGCTTGGTGGTGCATCACAAAAAGCGGAAACAATTTGTAATTTTCATATTGGTGATCTGGTACTTTCATTGAACAAAGCAACATTGATACCGGGATTTTCCGAAGCATTAGTTTATACGACAATTTCAGGCGCCGTTGGTGTATTGGTTCCATTCACATCACACGAACAATTGGATTTTTTTCAACATCTTGAAATGTATATGCGTTCGGAAAATGCACCACTATGTGGTCGTGATCATCTTGCTTATAGGTCATTTTATTTTCCAGTGAAAAATATCATCGATGGTGATCTCTGTGAACAATTCAATTCAATGGATTTTAGCAAACAGAAAAGCATTGCCGAAGATTTAGACTTTTCACCAGCAGAGGTATGTTTAATTGAATTTTGATAGCAAAATATTTTAATACAATTTTTGTTTGTTTTTTCTATTATAAATATTTAGGTGTCGAAAAAATTGGAGGACATGAGAACACAATATGCATTCTAAAACATAGAATAATGTTTAATAATTGTGACAATCGCTCCATACATTGTCATTCACGACAATTACGTACCTAAGAATTTTCATTTCTATTATTTCATCGTTTTTTGTAAATGTAAATGAATAAACCGAATAATATTCATCGTATGTTCTAATAATGAATTCTATTTGGTTTCTTTTCTTTTTTTATTATATTATCAAGATTTGATCATGATTTTATTCGAATATCTGATAAAGAAGAAGAAATAATTATCAATTTAATGATATTTGTTTATATCAAAGAATTCAAACCAATCGAATCGACCAGCATCATCAATGACAGTTTTTTTTATCTCACTTATTATTGTACTAATAATCACAATTGTTTATTATGGCAATGATTATTTGGTATCAAAAAAAAAAAAAAAAATTCACAATGTTCATTAACATAATAAAATTTCTTTTTATAAATGAAATCTAAATCTCGCCGATCATTTATGTGACGATATTTTTTTTTATTATTGATATCAAGAATGATCTGCCATTCGATATATAGAGATCATCGACATCTGATAACGAAAATTCTTTGTGACAGTTTTTTTTTGGCCGATTATCTATATAAAAATCAATCCAGATAAACTTTTTTTGATGATGGAAACATGTCAATTTATACGGATGCATTAGCCATGCAAGTTCTAATAAACGCCTCAAGCAACTATTATTAATACTTATTTAATGTACTCGAAACCGTTCATATGCATGCACAGCATCTGACAAGATCATATTAGTTTTGATTAACCGGTTTGAAATAAATGAACTAAATTAGAGAAAAAAAATTTTAGGTACCATATTAACAGTAAGGAAATGATGATACTTTAATGAATCTAATAACAATCATTCTTATTATCAATTGTAGACAATTTTTATCTAACATTGTTTGTGTGTGTGTGTGTGTATACGCATATCACACATATACTTTGTTCGATCGATAATCATTTGATCAATATTTAATTCGATTTAATTGACTGGAACTGACCAGCCAAATGCCTGCTAACCCTGATTTACCGAACTTGATCAAATCGAATGATTACCCAACATTGAACAATACGTCCATCAATGAAGTTCCTCATACAATCGAAAGAGAAAGGAAAAAACATCACAGTAGAAAAAAAAATATTTAAAAAAAACTTTTCGCTATCAATTTTTTTTTCTTTAAAAGCCATAGACCCATCTATTCTTTTTCGATATGGATGGATGAATGGATCGTGTAGCAGACGAATAAATATCGATGCCGAATGGCTCCACATATCATGTCTAGTGCCTATTTTTTGTATTTTCTTTCGTTTGCTTTAGCCATGATCTACATTCCTTAGCTGGAATGGCGGTCACCGATTCAATCATTCAATGATGGTGATGATGAGCTATCCTTAATGATGATAATACTATCTAATAAATTCTAAACCTTGTATGTACCGCTACTTGAATATTTCTAATCGGTATATATAGAGATATAATAACAACATATGGACAGAAGACAATTGGAAATGAAAATAAATGAATGAAAACGCCTATAGTTGAAATGAGAAACGGTTCACCGTTATTATAATAATAGACAGGAACGGTCCAGAGTGATAGTAAATAGTTCTATGTTCTATGTTCTATGTTTAATCAAAATGGCTCTGTGTTCACACCATAATCATCAGGAATGAGCACATCATAGAATCATTATCATTATAACTCAGAATACATCATACATCTTATATTAACAATTTTTCTGTTAAAAAATATATAGCTTGATGATAGAATCCAGAATATCATTCATATAATTTCTACCGTACTACGACCAATAGAATTGTATACCGCTTCCTTTAAGCAGAAAAAAATAGATGGCCGGTCGGTACATAAGTGGTCAAACTTTTTCATAAACATAAAGTGTCTATGAAAGAAAAATTCTCTCGCTCCAAGTTGAGAATCCCTAGACCATTCTATTCTGGTTTTCATGAAAGAATCTGGATTCATGAAATTCTGATATGGACGCATGATTGTGGTATTATAAGGAACAAAAGTATAGCTTCGTTACTAGCAGCATTTGATATTTCATATCCTGTCAAAATATTTCTTCTAGGACCGAAACTATAGTGTGTCGGTCGTCGATCGGTGTTCCAAAATGATATTTTGACTACGAATTTTTTTTATTTTTTTTTTATTTCAAATCAAATCCAATGTACTACTACTTACTACTACCACAACGCAATGTTTATAACATTTGTTCATTCGTTTGATCTTGACAACGAATGGATATCTTTCTGGTAAATTCTACTACCACGATTGAAATTATTATTATTACTATCATCATCATCATCATCATCGTGATGAATATACACATTTCATTCACAATAATGATGATGATGATTATGTGGTAGTGGTTGTTTTATTTTTTCATTCTCTATGTTTTTCTATCTCTCACTTTCGAAAGGGAGCGAGCCAAAAAGACCTGAATTATATTTGATTTTTTTTTTTTTTGGTTGAGACTCCTCATATTAGAGGCGAAACCACGGATACTCAATACAATTATGCACATATACATATACAAACACACAGTATACTTTTCTATGATGATGATGATGATGATGATCTCTATTCCACTCTCTTTTTCTCCCTCTATGTCCGTCTGTCTATTTTTCTCTTTCTATTTGTGTTTGTATGTGTGTCTGTATTAGTTTGGAGCCTTTATTTTTTCTCTTCTATTTTATATTCGTTATTTCTGAATTTTGGTCGATCATCGTGTTGATCATGATGATGTCGATGTTGTGGAAATAATAATAATAATGATGATTATGGTGATGGTTGATGATCAAGTGTCGTACAAATGGTATCCCGTTCTCATTTGAACGTCTCCAATGGATGATTTTTGGATGGCTGTGTTCTTGGATGTTGTAATGGTATTCAATCTTGCCGAATGTTGCTGATGTCAATATTACTTTGAATGCTTATTTTGTGTGTATGTGTGTGTGTGTGTGTATGAATGAATTCATCAAACATCGTGGATTTCCATTATTCATTCAATTCATTCATTCGTTTTTTTACCAATTGTACATATAAAATATTGATAAATTATGAATGAAGCTCATCTTTAATCATCATCGAAGTCAACAACAAATAATCAGCAAACATTATCCAAAAAAAAAAACGAATCCATCCATAAATCAAATGATCCGATCAAGACCACATTGTGACATAGTATTATTATTATTAATCATTTTTGTTAATGTTCATCATTATCAACTTGATCATACCCCTGTATAATCAATGATGATAATGTTAATGATGTCGAATTAGAGACGACCTACAAATTATTTTGTAACCTCGAAGAAAAATTAACCAAGAGGTGATTTTTTTTGTTAATTTTGTTTCTGCATCAAGAATCGTATGTATGTTTGTGTGTTTGTCTATCTGTATATGATACATACGAATAAATGGTTCAATCCTTTTCAAAGAATTAGCATCATCATAAAATTATGAATCTTATAGGTCTTTCAATGTGATGTAATTAGTGCAATCTTAGGTCATTCTGTTTCATTTTGTGTGTATAGACTTTATAACTCACAAAATTCAATATTAGAGATGACAAAAAAAATTATCCATTTGAATAAATGGGGTAAGTGTATTTTTGACTATATCTTTAATGATTATTATCACTAATATTTATTTCTTTTTTTCATTCATTCATTAGATTATTCTTCCAAATTTGACTAACTTTTTTTTCTTCAAAAATTGATTTTCTTTTGTGTGTGTGTGTGTGTGTGTTTTTCAGTACATTATCCAACCGATCAAACAAAAGGCAACAAATATCATTGAAACACTGGTTGATGTTTTTCGATTTTGATTTCAACTTGTTCCCTTATTTTATTTTATTTTATTTTTTTTTACTTTTTCATTTCTCATATACTTTCTATTTGTGTGTGTTTATGTTTTGTTTCTGTCACGAAATAAAAATTGCTTGTTGTCGTTGCTACAAAATTTCTGTGCATTTCTATGTATGCGTCTGTGTGTGTGTGTCATTTTCATCTCTCTTTGATATTCAATTCACAAAAATCATTCTGCCAATTCATCGTTGTCATCATCATATTATGCACCATTCCGATCATACCATATATACAAACACTGAAAAAAAAAAAAAAACTTAAACATCATCATCACCACACCCACCACCAACACCAAAATCATCGCCATTCAGTGTTCAACATTCAAAAAATAAAAAATGATTGTTATTAACGCTTGTGTTTATCGACAACTTTTTAGAGAATAAAATAAGAAGAATAAGAATAAAACAACACACCGAAAAATTTATTCTGATCAATCAGATGTTCCAGGATCTGAATATTTATATGATAAATGTCCATGTGGTTAGTATTATGTAATTGATGAAAAAAAATTATCATGCATTTAAAATTTGCATTCAAAACCAAAAAATTTTTTTATAAAAAAATGGTGATTGGATCGGTCATCAAGATTAAAAAAAAATTTGGAAAACATCCCTCAAATCAATCTCACCCATCAACATAGTAGTGATACAGGTGATTAGTGTTTATGATTACAGGAAAACATAACTGTTCATTTTTTAGTTTGATAATTTTGGCCCGTTGATTTGCAAAATAAAAATATTTTAGACCCTGTGAAAAAACGTAACAAAAAAAAAATTTACCGACACACACACACATTGTTATCTCGAAGGGGGGAAGAGAGAATCGTGGTAAATGGCAATGAGAGAAATGAAGATGATAGAGGATTATCGTGGCCGTACAAGTATATGGACTATGTGTGTATATTCGTTCCGTTTTTTTTTCTATTGCTATCTCGTTCTCTCGACGACGTCCTCGACGCCTAACACACTCTTTCTCTTTTTCTATGTGTGTGTGTATGTGTGGAGTTTGTCGAGCTATTTTTAGATCAGGCAACCCAAAGAAAAGAAAGAAAAAAAATTTTTTCCTTTCCCTTGTTGTTCATTCGAGCCATTTGAGTCAATCTATCCTATCTAATATAAAAACACACACACATTGAGCATCCATTTCTTTTCATTAAATAAATTTTTCTATATTAATATCCCAAAAGAAGGTTCAAAGGTTGCCCATTTGGCTATAACATAGAATTATCATTTAGCCAATGAGTGATGACAATTGTTTTTTTTTCATTTTCTTGATTTGATTTTAATTTTCATTCATTCATTTATTCATTTTATTAATTTCATTAATGCTAGTTTGTCATTTTGTTGTTGATGATAGATATCAATCGGCATTTTTTTTTATTTTGAAGCCAGATCGCTCTGTGTGGTGATGTACTATTTTCATTCGTTTATTTTTTTTGTATATTGATTTGATTGTATTTGTATGTGTGTGTGTGTGTGTGTGTGTGTGTGTGTGTAATAGATTGATTGATTGAGGTTCGATTATTTTTATTTTTTTCACAAATATATCATTTGGATGTGTGTCTGTGAAAACACACACACACATATGATACCATATTTTATGAAGATATGATTGAACACATATAAATACACACACACACACAAAGATATATACTGATTTATATGTTTCATTCATTTATAATATATTTGGATTTCATTATGGTTCAAATATATAAATGTATTTATTATGTCTATGTTGTGATATTTTTTGTTGTTGTTGTTGTTGTTATTGGTGTTAGCAATATATATGATGATGATGATTTCTGGATTTTTTTTTTTTTTGGTTGCTAGTTGGCACCTAACTTTTCGCCGTGTCTGGGTTACATAACTTGTAAATGTTACTGTTGCTTTTTTTTGTTTTTTGTTTTGTTTTGTTTCGCGCTTGCTTGCTTGCTTGTTAGCTGTCAAATCAAATGTCGATTTTTCTTCCGTCTTTTTTTTTATTCTTGACAATAAATATATCCAATTAATTTTTTTTTCTTACTATGGAAGAAAGAATTTTTTGCAATTCATGATACATTACTCGTATTGATCGATTAGTTGTCAATCAAAAAGTCAAGTGCATCAATTTTAACCTTTATGACAAAAAAAAACTCAGTTAATTCTAATTCATAAAGGAAAAAAAATACCATTGACATTGGCAAGTGCGATAAAAAAAAAATTCTAAATCTATGTCGATCATCAGACAATCGTGAAAAGACCCCCACCTCAAATTGTAGAATATTTTTTAAAATTAGATTTTAAGTTGAATCTCATGAAGAAAATAGAAAAAATGATAATTAATAAAAAAAAATGAAGTGCAAAAATATACGTAGTAATCAATTATCAATTATATATTTAATGTGTGATGTGATGATGTGAATTGAATGAAAGTTTGAAAGATTGATCATATATGTTTTGAATTGCCAATATTAAGGAATAACATTATTAAACTAAAGAATTTTTTTTTTACTTTTCATAAAAATTTTTAACGTCATGTAATCATTATCTTAATGAATTAAAATTTTGTGTGTGTGTGTGTGAATGAATCAAGGTGGTAATGATTATAATTGTAAACAGCACCTTTCTGATTAAGCTTTTTCTCTTTTTGTTGATCAAAATGGCATCCACACACACAAACAAGCATGCTTCATACATTTTTTTTATATATAAATTTTGCACAATCCGTTGCCCATAATAGCTTTAGGCAAAATATTTCTAGTTGATGATGATATTCTGGTTGTTTATGTTATTTGTTGATGATTGGCGAAATTTTTTTTTAAAATGTTGATTATTTTGTGTACTCAACTTAAAATTATTTACATCATTATCTTTCATTCTGGTAGATGCTATGCACAAAAAATTCTCTCTTTTTTATCTGTCTTTCAGTGTGTGTATGAGAAAGAGTCATAAGTCAAGCGGAAGAGTTGTTTGCCTATTAATTAAAATATTCTTGTTTATGATAATGATGAACTTTGCCACCACCACCATCATTGACATAAGTAAATGAATAAAGAGAATATAGAAAAAAATGATTTTTTGAAAAAGATTCATTCATTTCTTCATTATTCACCAATTATTTCACTAATTCTGCGTTTCTTATATATAACAAATGTGACGAAAAAATGAAAAGTAAATAATGATTATGATGATGTTGGCAATGATAGTGGTCTTACTTTTTTTTGTAGTAGAATTCAATAAATGATCATAGACAGTGAAAGCTGAGAGATTTTTTTTTTCAAAAATGAAAAATTCAAAAAAACCAAAGCTTTTTTTTGGATCATCGTCACACAGTTATCATTATTTTATTGTTATGATTTTAAAAGTTGTTGACTAATACCCAGAACGAATGATTGAGATTTTTTTTTGACATAAAAAAGAAGAATCAGCAATTACCAAAATCGTTAACATTTACCACAAAAATATGAAGAAAAAAAAATTCTTCTACCTCATCATTGAAACGAATGGGCTAATCATGAACATCTTTTTGTATACGATGAGCTTTGAAATTTGATGTGATCATTATTCATCCATTTCGTGATGACGAATATGCCGTAATTATAAACGATGGATGTTGAATACCGGTGCAAATATGTTTCCGGTTTTTTCATTCTAGTCATGATAATATTGGTTACGGTTTTGGTTTTTCTTTATTTTTATTCCATTTTTTTACGATGTACGATTCTATCTATTTTTGGCTTTTGGTGGATGTGTTTATATTATGACTATTTTGAGGATGGTTACCCAATTGGTGATGACAATTACCTGGAATTTGTTCTCACTCTCTCAAAATATTTCGTTCATTGATATAACGTTCAGACGTCATCAACTTATACTTATTGTAGAGTTCTTTTAGTGTGCCTGAATCTTATTAAAACAAAGTTTACAACAAAAACTCCCAAATCTGTCATCGATTCAGTGAGAATTTTTGTTTTGTTTTGTTTTGTTTGGTTCTTGTGATGTTAAACGTCATAATCTTCTTACTGGATGTTGTTGTTTTTGATTTCATATTTTTAACCCCTAAAAAATTTATTCTTTGATATTCATTCATAGAATTGTGTTTTTGTTTTTTTTTCACTACAATTTTTTACGAATAGATTGTTATAAAATGTGTAGTAGTTGCATTCATATTAAAGCTAAAATAGAAAAACTTTGATTATTATAATAATAACTAAATTATCGTTGTTGGTTGGTACTCAACTACAACACTGGTATCATCATTATTTACAGAAACAAGGTGAATGGATATTAAAATAGAGGCGGTTAGTTGGCTGGTTGGTGTTAATAGTTATATTAATAGCATCGAATCATGCTAATTATATCACTGTCTTTATGTTTTCTATGCATTGCTCATGTTTTTTATTCTTGTGTTTTGGAAATATTCGTGTGTACAATCCTACCAATTGCCAATAATATTCGTAGAATCAAGCTATTTGAAGCTAATAGGTGATGTTCAAGTTTCCTATTATTTTCATCATTCTATCGTTTGTCAATGATGAATCCTAAGACGAACGAAATAAAAAATGATGATGAAATTGTCGTTCATTGGAGTTTGTCTTGCTGTTGTTGTACTACCAATGAATGTTATAGTTGATGCGGCCTTCCTGATGATGGTGACATCGGCATAAATTTCACCACTTAAAACGAAAAAAAAAATTGAAACCAATTGTTTCTATGTTTTTTTTGTTAAACCGATCCTTGTCGTCGTATAGGTTTATGGTCTGTTCTAGATTGTCGCCGTGGTCGTCGTCGTCGCCGCCACCACCGTTGTCATCGTTGTTGCTGTGTTCAATTATTATATGTAGATCAATTCAGGTAACAAAAACGACAAAAACTGGAAAGCGAAAAAAAAACTGTAAAACTGTACTGTCATCATTTTTTTTTCTCTGTTTTTCTAAATATGCGAATGATTCCCTTCATGATGATAATGCATGTGTGTGTGTGTTTGTATCTTATTGAATATTATTTATAAAAGTTGACTATGTTCAAAACCTGACAAAATACAATTGAATACAGTAGACAGAATAGACTTTTGTTTTTTTTTTATTTTTAAAATAAACATTTCTTTATTCCCATTTCCATTATATGGCTAGTATATCAATTTCAAAATAAATTTTATTATGATTTCCTTACATCTTCCATAAACACCAATTTGTTTGATCAATACAAATTGTGCTCAATATATAAGTATCTCGATTATTTAATCCAAGTGCTAATATATATCATTAAGTTGAAATTATTTAAATACCCAATATGGGGAATCAGTCTGATCTATCTATAGAAAAAATATCATTATATTATAAATATTTTAATCTCATCATCAAGTCGAGTTTGTGTGAGCATTTCTCAACCTAACTATAGCTTTCTTTACGCATTTACACTAATGACAACCAAATTGTAAAGGATCTCAATTTTTTTCATTCCATTTGTTTCTTTGTTTGATTGGCTTGTGTTAATCTATTAACTCAAGATACGACCAATGTGAAAAAAAATTATGGATCTAGGGTAGATCTCGATGATGCCGGCAATGACTCTCAAGTAGTCCATTTTTTTTCGTTTACGTTAGGCTTATTTGTTTTCCTTATCTTGTTGTTTGGCTTTTCTCTGATTTTTTTCTATTACTGAAAAAATGAGCAACAGAATCATCAGGCAATCATATTGATTTATTGATCAATTTATTTCCAATCATCTATTAATCATTTTTATATGGATTTTTTCTTTCTCTTTTTTTTGGCATCACCGTTTTTCCCTATTCAACAGGTGTCTACAACAGCAATCACATTTTAAATATTTGACCTTAAAAATAAAACGAAAAAAGAATTTTTTGTCAGCAAATTAATAGATCATCGTTTTTCAATTCCTATATTTTTTTCTGTCATCATAATCATCATTATCATCGTCATCAAAAAACATTAGCTTTTTCCGATTCTTATTGAATTTAAATAAATTCAAACCAAGTTTTTTTTTTGGTTCGAGAATTCATCTACACCGCCGCCATCATTCTATCTGCCATTGATTTCTGTAATTTTGCTTGTGTTGGAACCACCAAGCTGGAATCTGATTCAGAAGCGAATCGGCGACCAAGTCTTCTGGCAAATGTAATGGGCTGCTTTGGTGGGTCAGGATCGAAAAACGATGCCGAAGAAGACAAACGCCGGCGTGAGGCGAATAAACGTATCGAAAAGCAAATACAAAAAGATAAACAAATATATAGAGCCACTCATCGGCTCCTTTTATTAGGTCAGGTCATCCATATTAATGTCGAATTGATCATATTTCAACTGATAATTTCCATTTTTTCTCTCTTTTCGATAGGCGCCGGTGAGTCTGGCAAGAGTACAATTGTCAAACAAATGAGAATATTACATGTTAATGGTTTCAGTGAAGAGTGAGTTTTTTTCTGATGAAAATGAAAAAAATATGTCCGTTATATTCTTATTCTAAATATAATATATTTGAATCAAAACAGAGAAAAGAAGCAGAAAATCGAAGATATCAAGAAAAATATACGTGATGCCATATTGGTGAGTTTTAAATTCAATTTCGTTCAACTATAATATAATAACTGTTTTATTTTTGTTTGGCTATAGACGATAACGGGTGCCATGAGCACTTTGGTTCCACCAATTCTACTCGAAGACCCTAATAACCAATGGATGGTTGACTATATACAAGATGTTGCCAGTAGTCCTGATTTCGATTATCCACCCGTATGTAGCCTAATCCTATGTGATATTAATTGATCTAACATTTTATTTTCCTTGAATATCAACAAAAAAAAGCAATTTTACGAATACACTGAAGCACTATGGAGAGACAGAGGTGTTCAAGCAACATTTGAACGATCCAATGAATATCAATTAATTGATTGTGCAAAATAGTATGTTATTTAATATCAATTTGAAATTTTATGAATTTTAAATAAACAATTTGTTTATCATTATAGTTTTTTAGATCGAGTTGATGTTATAAAAATGCCTGATTATACACCAAACGAACAAGACATTCTCAGATGTCGTGTTTTGACATCGGGTATTTTTGAGACAAAATTTCAAGTCGAAAAAGTTAATTTCCAGTAAGTAGTTTTTCATAAGAAAAAAAAATGATTGCTTAAACTTATCTATTCAAATTTCGTTCAACTTTAGTATGTTTGACGTTGGTGGCCAAAGAGACGAACGTCGAAAATGGATACAATGTTTCAATGATGTCACTGCCATTATTTTTGTTACTGCATGTAGTAGCTACAATATGGTGCTCAGAGAAGATCCCAATCAAAATAGATTACGTGAATCACTTGATTTGTTCAAAAGTATTTGGAATAATAGGTAAAATTAATGATAAAATGTATTATTCAATATAATTGTTGAATTTTTTTTCTGAAATTAGATGGCTGAGGACAATCTCAGTTATATTATTTCTAAATAAACAAGATCTTCTCGCCGAAAAAGTCAAAGCGGGAAAGTCTAAGATAGAAGATTACTTTCCAGAATATACCCACTACCAGACGCCACCAGATGGTAAATTAACTTTGATTCGAATTAAAACAAAAAATTCTGATTCATTTTGTCTACTGTCTTTTTTTCCATCGCATTTAGCTGTATTCGATCCGGGTGAATCACCGGAATTTATTCGGGCAAAATATTTTATTCGCGATGAATTTCTGGTAAGTGTAATATGATTGATATCCACGAATAATTTCTAATTTTTGATTTTTTTTCTCCTCACACAGAGAATAAGCACCGCCAGTGGAGATGGAAAACATTATTGCTATCCTCATTTTACCTGTGCCGTTGATACTGAAAACATCAGGAGAGTATTCAACGATTGCCGTGACATAATACAACGGATGCATCTTCGTCAATATGAGCTATTGTGATCTTTATCTTCTCTCTCTCTCTCTTTCTTATTTTATTATTGCTACTATAATTATTCTCATTCTGAGTTATCATCATTATCATCTACGACTTTTTCATTACTTTTTGTTCTGTCGGTTTTTAGTGCATCAATTTTTTTGAAAAAATTTTCAAACGAAAAATATTCGCTTCACAACAAACAAATGCAAGGGCTGAAAAACACACACCACCATTACTGTGCATACTATTATAACTTTGTATAAAAAAAATTGCATGAAAATTCATTTTTAAAAAAAATCTGCTCCCGAAATAATATATTATTGGATTGATGTATAATCCATAATTGTGAAAGAATTCTCTTTTTGCTTTTGTTCTTGTTGTTATTGTTCTTTTGTACAGAATTTCAATTGACAATTATTCTTTTTTTTTCGAGACAAAAAAAATAAACATTTGTCTCCATACATTGTTCACATAAACACTAAATACACACCTACACTGAATGATTTATTGATAAAATTTCAATCGCCATCACTGGGGAAAAAGTTCACATCTATGATTTATTTGGCTTAATACGAATGGTGATTTATATAATAATATTATCTAATATTAATAAATTGTTTGTACATGTTACACATACACATCATCATCATCATCATCATTACCTTGATGACCATTAGGTTTACACACGCCCACAAATTACACAAATCTGCCCATTTATATCATCGAATTCATTTTATTATTACATGTGAATTACACCTACACACACACACACACACACACGACCATTGATAATTTGATCATCATGATGATAATTGTTATCACAATTTTACCATTATATACACAATGACACACCACCATAATGCCGTCGCCAAATTTTTTTTCGCTCTCACACTTTTTGTTCTTTTTTTTGTAATTGATGATTGATCACATTTGTAATCAACAGACAAACAAACAACATAAAGACATACGGATGATATTTTAGAATCGAATTGTTTAAACAAAGCAAACTAAAAAAAAAAAATGTTCCAAAAATGACATTTTAAATATTCTTTTTTTTTGTTTTCATATGGGAAAAAAAAGAAAATTCTTGAAACGACCAAATCCGACTCCAATTCTATATATCATTATCTTATTTCAGAAAAAAAATCAAGCGATAATTTTTACTATGAATATCTTGTTAATTATATAAAAAAAATTATTCCTCATGAAAGTTCCTTTGACAAGTTTGTTTGGGTTATTGACTGGAAGTTTAAAACTGACATTTTAATTGATTGATTGATAAATCATTTTCACTTTGAGTCTAGATTGAAAGATTTTTTGCTAAACTCTAAAATATATTAGCATAACTTGTAATTATTATCCGTTTATTTTATTATCGCAATTTCGAAGCTAGAATTAATTCATTTAGGTTGTTTGAATGAATTTTTCAGATAATAAAATCACTCTTTAAATAATTAACGATTTCGTTTCATCGGTTGCCCAGAATCAAATTATCGTAATTTGAGAATTGAGAAAAAAAAATCTCATTGGACTTGATGTTGTTTTCTATGCAGCCTTTTCATTGAAATTTTCTTCTTCTTTTCTTTAATTTTTCAAAATTTTTATCTTTTAAGATCTTTATCATCATCATGATTTTTGTTAAAAATATCACAATTTAAAAAAATAAATTCTTTTTTTTGTATCATGAAAAAATCAACCAATGTAACGTGATATATGAACGGTCGCCACATTGCGATCGTGACTCAACTGTATCTGACAGTTGATTATTTGATGAACAACACTCCTTGTTGTCGTGTTGTGATTTTTCATATTAAAATATTGAATAAACTTTATTTTGTTTTTCGTAACATCATTTCGTCTAATTAATCTCCCCACTCGGCTTAATTACCGTACATGGTGGTATCGGAAACTTTCTACAAAGTATTTTTATTGTTCAATATTGTTAATCATCGACACGTATGAATACAAGAAGTATGACTACTAATTCAACGGGTACGAACACTTTTTCAATGAATAATCACCAAAGTGAACTATTGGTGCGTCCAAATAGATATGACGAATCCGAGTCTATCGAAACATTCATGGAAGAATTTGAGAGGGTGGCTGATCTTTCCTGCTCTATTGAAATCCAGCTGTGTCTGGATAGAGACAATCAAGAATTTATCAGCTATTGAAAGATCATCGTTTGAGCAGATCAAATTGGCTATTGAAAATGATAATAAAGGCAAACGCCTTAAAAACATGCAAGAATTGGCCAATATCAAACGTAAATCAAATGAATCTCTCCCGAAGCTTGCGACCCGTTTACACATTCTAGTTGATCGAGTGTTTGGCAAATTTGCAGCCTCAAACAAAATGCAACTCGAAATATTTTTCTTCTTGAACTGCCTACCGCTTGATATACAAATATTATTGTGTAATCCAGATATTCCAAAATCTATTAAGGATGCAGTCAATGCGGCTGAAGGTTTAGAAGCGGCTAAAAGCATTTCTAATCTCCGATTTGAAAAAAATAAAATTGGTATTGCTTCAACATCTAAATCTCTTGGCGATAAAGATAGTAAATTTTGTACTTTTTGCAAAAGAACTAATCATAATGTGGATAAATGTTATAAAAAGAAATCCGCAGAGAAGAAAGAAAAAAAGAAAAAAGAAGCTGAAAAAGAAGTAAATTCATTGAATAAATCTACTATTTCAAAATGTCATTTCATTCCTATTTCGTTCAATAATGTTGTGTCCCAAGCAATGTTAATGTGTGTGTGGCGACGGTTTCTGTTCTTCCAGCTCACCTAGTGGAAAATCTCGAATAAAAATATAGTGCTACAACGCTTCCTAATAGTGGAGTTGGTGGCCAACCGCTAAATGTGAAGGGCGAATCAACAATCGGATTTTTCTAATCCGATCAATAACCACGTGTTCCGTCACCAAGTTTATTGTTTTGGACGAGTCGAAAAATCATCGCTTGATCATTGATTTTTTCATTACCTGCAAAATAATTTACGTTTATCATTTGATTTTGGCAAATCAATCGAAATTTTTTCAACTTTAAAGAACGAATTAATAATTCGTTTTCGAAACAACTAAAAATATGTCGTCAAAATTTTGTCTATCTGTGCAGCCTTTCATTGAAATTTTCTTCTTCTTTTCTTTTAAATTTTCAAAATTTTTATCTTTTAAGATCTTTATCATCATCATGATTTTTGTTAAAAATATCACAATTCAAAAAAATAAATTCTTTTTTTTGTATCATGAAAAAATCAACCAATCAATTGATATGATTACAATTATCAGAAAAGGCATAAATGTTGCGAAAAATATGAGTCACTTATGAAAAGTTTGTTTTTTGATTAAAAAAAAATTACCCTTGTCAATCCTATCAGGAACGCCACCAATAAAGGTCAACATAATGAGCAGCAAATTTTTAGGAAATTTTGGTGGACGGTTATTGGTCATAATGATCCTAAATTTCTGGTACTATGATCCGAATGTTTATTTTTGTCAATCAATGGCTATACTTTATGATAAGAATGTCCGAAATCGATGTGAACCGATCATTATACCAATGTGTGCAAATATTGGCTACACACATACATACATGCCGAATATATTGGAAATGGAAACTCAACAAGAGGCTGGCCTTGAAGTACATCAATTCTGGCCATTAGTTCATGTGAATTGTTCGGAAGATTTAAGATTTTTTCTTTGTTCCATATATACACCCATCTGTATTGAAGATTATGTTGGTTATATTCCATCTTGTAGATCGGTCTGCGAAAGAGCCAGAATTGGATGTGAACCTTTACTCTTACAAGGTGGTTTTCAATGGCCCGAACAATGGAGGTGTAATAGATTTCCGATATACGGAAATCGTATCTGTATGGATCCAAAAAAGGTTCGAAATTGAATATTTATCCACAAAAAATAACAATTTCAATTTTTTTTATTGTAGAAAAAATTTTGAAACAAATCTTCTGAAGCGTGCGACATCTTTTGGTCTTAAATCACATTAAAAAAATTGTTATTTTTTAATTTTCGAATTCTGAATTGTAACTTTTTGATATGAGATATTTATTACATTCCTTTCTTGTATTTGCGTGTTCTATTCAAGCCATATAATAATCTTGTTTTTTTTCATCTGCATGAACTGGAGCGAAATCCCTTAACATTTGTTTTCATGTAAGTCGTCTTATTTAAAATTGAATCAAAATAAATTCTTTCGAAACTAAATTCATGAAAGTATCATCGACACATCAACCGCTTATTCATATCAATGATTTTTTCATGGATAAAAGAAATTCAATTTTCAATTTAAATGGATCTTCCCTGCGGTGAATAAATGTTTTCGATTATTGTGGTGAATAAATATTCCATCATAATTCTAGAATTTTTTTTGCATTTGTCAGCTGCGGTGACAATGATTTCACTCTTGTTTCATTTAAACTTTATTATGGTCATAGTAAATATTAGCAATCTAATTGTTTTTTCTCGCTTATTTAGCATCATAAGAATACCCGCAGTGAACAACACGAAAAAAAATCCTAAATTGATCAAAAAGAAAATTGTTTTGATTTCTGCTTTATTTAATGATATCATAGTAAATAATAACGGTCATTCTATCCTAATATGAGAAAAGGTCGTATAAATTTTGATTGATTGGTTTGTAGTGACCAAAAACCACATTCTGTATATGATAATATTGGGACCAATAACTAATGAAAATAAGTACTCTATGGAACAAACACACACACACACACACACACACTTATATGTCAATTGAATTTTGCCAATATCGAATACCCAATATACGTATTAGTATCAAAGCAGGAGATAGATATCCAATATTAATACAAACTTCTCAATCGTGATTGAAAGAAAAGTAAAAAAAAAATTTTTGTCACTATATCATGATCACAATTAAATCCTTCCTTTTTATTAGAAAAATAAATAATCAAATGAAAAAACTATTGCTAACACTAAATCCAGATCCACATGTTTTCATCACAGATATATCCATCACCACTGGTTTGTTGGTTTGATAATTCATCGTGTCATGTTTTTATGTGTATATGTAACATAAGCAACAAAATTTACACTTATCGATAATAACAATGAGAATTGGAAAAAAAATCCATGTCATGTTCCCGGAGTATATACTAAAAGTAAAACAACATGAATCACTAACAACAAAAAAAAAACCTATAGGATCCTTGTCCTTGTCTTTGGTATTTTTATATATATATGTAACAAGTTTGTTTGTCTATCCCTATGTGTATTTTGTTGTGTGCGTGTTATACAAGTTGTAAAAATTTCAATTTCGATAGTGATTTGGCTCGATTTATGTATTTGAGCCACGTATTTGTGTTATATTATATGTAGATATGAATCTGTTTTAACATTTCCTCTTTATGTTCCAGAAACGGGATTTTAGAAGACAGTTGTTTTGTGCTGATCAAGCAGCAGTTTGTTTGTAGCTGAATGAAAATTGAACATTTTTTTTGACTGACAAATGTCAGTCTTTTTTGTCATTTGTCATGTTTCATTCATAGGTTCTTTTTTTCTCTCTCTCTCTCTCTCTCTCTCTCTCGATTCCATCATAACCATATTTTTCATATAAATCCATTGCGAATTTATTTTCATTTTGTCTATTCAAATACATTTTTTTTCTCGTTTTTGTCTGTTTGAATAGCCAATTTGTTAAATTTGTCTCAATGACAAAAACAAATCTAATAGAAACAGCCGTGATTGGCAACCATGTGACACTTTTTTCTTTTGGCCAACCAATAATTGATGTGATCCAAACGTGTTTGATACAATTTTTCACGTGCATTTTTTTCTTTCAAAAAAAAATCATGTCATACATTCATATAATACTGCATAACCAAAAAAAAACATGATTTTTTCACATAGTTCTTGTTATCAAATTTGTTCAAGATATTATCACACACACACTCACACACACCTTATAAGATACTGATCTGTTATCGTTTATAAATGATTGATACATTTGTCACATTGTGTACGTTGTACCATTTTCACTATTGGGTCTATTGATCTGTATCGGTTCTTCATTTTTTTTCTCGTCTTTGTATTCATTCGGTATAACAACACAAAATACTTTTGTTATTCTAATTTGTTCAACGTGATTCGATTATGGACCTCACACATACCCATTTCTATTGAGGCCGAAACGAAAAAATCAATTTGTACAATTTATGAATTCAATTTGAATTCACTTATTATATATAGATTCATTGATTGAAAACCTGAATAATAACAAATTGACTCATACACACATTGATTCAACAAACTTCATTTTTTTTTTTTGTTGTTCGTATAGTAAATTTGAATCTCAAATTTTGTTCTTTTATTTTCATTTTGAATTTTTTTTAATTTTTTTTTTTTTTTTTTTTTTTTTGACAATGTTGACAAAAGAATATAAATGTGTAATGAATATTTCATGGATCAGTATATTATATATGATATGAATGTTGTTACAAAAATTTATTTTATTTTATTTTTTTCTTCTTATTAGATTCATGTCAAAAGTTAGAATTCAACTCATTCAAGCGAACAAATTTGATGAACTGAAGCGACAACGGATGATGAACTGAACGGCCCGAAAACGTCTTTGTTCCGCTATTTGGTTTGGTTTGGTTTTGTTGTTGTTGTTGTTTTGCATCGAGCACGATTTGTTGTTTTGACTTGTTTTGACAAATTCATTCAAGTGAATAATAATAATGACCGAAAAAAAATAAATATTCTAGCTATGTTTTTTTTCCTTTGGCTTTCTTTAGCAGTTTTACAAAACGTAACGAATCATTTCATGGCTAATCGACCAAATCTATTATGATGATGATGAGGTTGATAATGATTCTTAGTGGTTTCTACTACTTTCTGACTATTCGTTTTTTATCCTTGAGAGAGATAAACCAACATTCACAAACACACAATCATAAACACACATTCACATAGTTGTAATTAAAATTATGTCCAGATAATATATTAATACCGATTATAATCAAGTGATTTATTTATATATATGGTATGTAATAGTTAGATACTGATTACAGACCGCAAACAGAATTCTAAAAAAATTGTGATTTATAATTGTAAAAGGATTTTTGAATTTTTTTTCTGAATTACACTAACTGAAAGTAAAAATATTTTAATGTAAAAAAAAAACATTCAGAGAGTAATTTGATCCGAAGCGAAAAAAGTCAACAAGGAATCAATGCTGCAATAACACTAGTAGTTATAATGTGTGTGAGCCCCTAAGTGGCCGTAGCCTATCTGAAAGCGTGAAAAAAACAGAAAATCTCCATTGGGATGCTACAATCATGAATGTCTATGATTCCAATGTCGATGTTGTGACATACAAAAACAAAACAAAAAAAAAGATTCCATTGGGATTATTATCGTTAATATTAGTGTACACACACACACACAAAGACATTTGTATTATTCATTCTCTGTTGGGGTGTCATTTTCATTCAATGTGCTCATTGGAGACCGTGAAATGATGAATGTCATATCGTTTATTGGTTGAAATTCATCCATATATTTGAACCAAATTTGATATTTCAATTTCAGTTAATCAGTGCATTTGAACGTTTGTGTGAATATTTTGTATATATGTGATATTCATATTATTATTTGCGAGAATATTTCGATAGTGATGAAAAAAAAATAAATATATAGGTGTTATAATGTCAAACCGAACATTATATGATCAGTGTGTGGTCAAGTTTTTATATAATTTACATTTTCAATTCATCCGGCCAATTTCATATTGAATAGGTTTCTGTGTGTGTATATGTTTCAACGCATGTGAAACATATGTATTTTTTCGGCTTCATTCTATCAAAATTTCATGATTGACAGTTGACGGTGGTCTTTTATTTTGAAGAAAAATTTTATGTTCATTATTCAACCTGGAAAGGATCAACCTTTTGTTAATCCTAGATTGCTCATACACACATGACCAATTTGTTCATAAAATTTTCATTTGTACTACATACCCACAAAAACACGTGAGAAATATAATCTTTCTTACCTGGTTTTGAATAATAATAAGAAGAGAAAAAAAATCATAATCACAATCCGATAGGATAATAGTTTTTGTTAGAGGTGAAAACTTGTTAACGTTTTTTTTTTAGCCAAAATCTTGTTTCGTCAAAAAAATGACATTCATATTCATTCGTTTTTTTTCATCTTTTCATTCGATTTAAAATGATTTTTTACGAATCTCAAAATTGATATCAATTTCATTTTAAATGCAAATTATAATCCAATAAGAACATTTTTCCGTTCACTTTTTGCTATGATTTTTCCATTAACATTTTTTTCAATAACTGAAAACCCGAATTATTTTACATTGGATTATGCCAAAAAATTGTCAAGTTAATGGTTTGATCTTCACAGAATTTGAAATTGACATAGCAAAAATTATACTATAAGGCAATGTCATTTCATAAAGCTTTTTTTTTCCTATTGGTTCATCGAACATCATTTACTTTATTCCAAATGGCTTCATCATAATCGTGTTTGTTCATTTTAGTTTTACGAATTGATTAGGTTTTATCGATAAATGATTGGTATCAACTTTCATTATTGTTGGTAATATCGTATCTGATAATCATCATCATCATCATCATCCTTATGATGTTGTCCATCAATTGTATAACAATAAAAGTTTTGTAGTCAACATCCATTTGGACTGTGCAAGTTTGTTTGTGAATTGATCTGACCATCAATTCTATTGATTCATTCATGGCCATCACCATTAAAAGCCCATTCATTTTCAAGTGGCCACTGATCGACATTTGATATTTCCAATATATTGATCGATTCATCCATTAATTGACAATCTTTTAAATGATCTGTTTCCCATTCAATCATACTCTTATTTATTCTATTCAAATATTGGAAAAAAAGACAAAAATTAAATTTTTTATTCCAATGAAAAATTAAATAATTTCATTTCAATTGATCACATTTTTCTATATGTTAATTCTTTGCCATCATTCATTCATAAAAT